TTTTGTTTTCTTGATGTTAAAATGTAATATATATTGAAGATTACAGTTCTTCAGGTCCTCACTTTTCACAAGGTTGTATCATGTGCTTAACACAGGTTGTTGATGAGCCTTTCTCCATCTTGATGCCACACTCTTCTTCATAAAGTCCAGCTTTTAGAATCAGCTGCTGTGCAGGAGAAAAATGTGGCAGTCAACTTTTGTAAAGTTTTACACTCTTTGAAATCTTGTCAGCCAATTCTACTCTGTCATTCAAGGTTAATGTGAGTCAGAGTTTTCTTGAATGACGGAAAAGGGTGTTTGTTATTCTAAGTATTTAAAAAATAAAAATGTGTCAATAAAGGGACTTGCTTTAAAATATTTATAAGATGTTTTATTACAATATCTCAAAACTGGAAATGTTATAAATAAACAAAATGTGGTAAATCTATACCATAGAAAAAAATTCAGTGATTGAAAATAAAAACCAACTACAAATCAATCACTAAACCATTAGGCCAAACAAAAGAAGACTAGCAACAAAAAATGCATTGTTTAATTGACATAAAATTCTATAAAATGCAAACTAAGATATAATTTTGCAAGAAAGCTAGTAGTTTGGGAGCAAGTGATAGAGAGAAGAAAGTCTACAAAAAGAAAGAATTTTTTGTGGATAATGAAAATCTGTATTTTGATTGTGAATGGTGGTTTAATCATTATGTGTAATTGCCAATATTTATTGAATTAAAGACTTTAAAGGGATATAATATTTTACATATAAATTTTATAATAAAGTTGTTGAAATTTTTTTAAAAAGCTCCTGGATTAAGAAAAAGTCAGATTCCATTAAAAATAGAGGTGATGGAAACCTGTTATGAAGTTTGTCTAATATATCAGTCAAGGATAATGCTTTTCTAGACAATATATGAGAGTAGAAGTTAGACATTAGTCAGTCAAGGATAATGCTTTTCTAGACAATATATGAGAGTAGAAGTTAGACATTAGTCGTTAGTATTGGTGTTTTGATGTGAGCATTGAGTAATAAACCTGGTGGTGCACAATTAATATACCTGGCTACAAACTAAAAGGCCAACAGTTTAAATCTACCAGCTGCTTTATAAAAGAACTATGTTTCTGTCTTTTTTCATAAAGATTTTAAGCCTTGGAAATGCTGTGAGGCTATCTATTCTGTCTTATAGGATCACTATGAGTTGGAATAAATTTTCTGGCACTGAGTATTTGGTTTAGGGTGTGAGTAAAACAGAATATTTAATGCCATTATTTTAATAAATGGACAGAAATTCTATTTACTAATATGAGAAAATTGGGAAAAACAATGAATAAATTATTTGCTGATATTTTGATGCCTTGTCAATTGATACTCTCTGAATAAAACACTTGACTGAATGAAGGTTTTATGGTTTGGATTTGTGATATGGGCAAAGATTATTTATTGACAATACCTTGTATTGCAAAAAAAACAAAAACAAAAACAAAAAAACCACAAACCAACCCAAAAACAAATCTTTTGAAGAAGTACAGCTAGAGTGCCTTTTAGAAGCAAGGATAGTGAGAGACTGTTTCACATGATTATTATCAGGAAGGGTCAATCTCTGGAGAATGACATCATGCTTAGAAAAATAGAGTGGAAGACTATCAATTTGTACGATTGTCACAGTGATTTGTACAATGGCTTAAATTCACACAATAGGGATTTTAAAGAGATAGTGTAGAATTGGGTAAAATTTTGTACTGTGGTACATAAGCTAACTATGAGCCAAAATTAATTTAATGACATCTAAAAACAATGACAACAACAACATTTATCTGAACATATTGATTGGTAAGTCTCCAAGTATGTTTTCCCTCTTGAATCTAGCTGAAAATGATCTCACTCAAACAAACAAGAAACTTCACAACGTTAATTATCTTTGTTTAGCACCACTTTCTGTCTTCCCTTGAGGATTTAAAAATTCTTTTTATTAGAGAAAACACAATACTCTATGTAATTAAAATTTAATACTAATGTATCCATGAAATTTCCCCTTTTTACAATAAGTTTAAAAAGAAGATATTTGAGTACCTGAGGAGATCCAAGGATCTGTGGATCACATGTAGGAGATAGGAGAAGGAAAAAGAGGTTGTTCTAGTACCAGACACTTGTTTTAATGAATTGATCATAAAAGTACACAAATATAGGCATGGACTAAAATGTTCAAGAAAGTATTGTTTAGAAAAATTATATTAAAAAGGAAAACATTAAAAATAGGAGATTAATGTAAAAGGGAATACAGCCATTAAAAATGGTCTATGTACTTTTGTAGAAACATATGGCTTGATTTCCAAACAAAGAGCTCAGTGATCACTATGTTCAGTGAGATTACTCTGCAATAAAATATTTAGATAGGCATGCACATAAATAGAAAAATATCTAGAAGGGCATTCAACATAGCACTCTATACATATGAGTTATGGAGGCTTAATATGTAGAAAATTGTTCAACAGTTGGAATCCACAAGCTACTCCACAAGAGAAAAATGAGAAGACTCCCAAGGCAATTCACAGCCTTGTAAAGTTGCTAGAGGTCAACTATGAGTAGAACTCACTCAACAACAATGAGATATAATGTTGGAGAAGAATATTGAATAAACAACTGATTGTCAAAGGAACAAACAAAGTATTCTTAGACAAGGTTCAACCAGAGTGCTCCATAGAGGAAGGGATTATGAACTTTATCTCATACACTTCAAACGTGTTATCAGGAGGGGACGGACCAGTCCTTAGAAAAGGACACCATGCTGAGAAAGGTAAAAATGTCAGCAAAAGAGAAGAATATCTTCAATTAGATTAATTGACTGTGACTACAATGAACTTGGCCATGACAGAAATGTTAATGATGATGCAGAATATTACAAGTTCAGATCTGTTGCTCATAGGGTTACTGTAAGTTATAGCATATGAACTAGAGTGAGAGTGAGAAGAACACTAGTCACGGAGTCTATGGGTCATTGTACTGCTAACCCAAAGGCCAGGCCTTTCTGGCAGTTTAAATCCATCAGCTGTTATTCCTTGATGTTGTTGTGGTGTACCTTCCTTTCAGTGAGAACCAACCCAGAGCTGACCCTCCAGTGAGTTTTCAGAGGCAGTAATGCTGAGGAGGAGATTGCCCAAACTCCCATCCCACAGAGCAGCTAGTGGCCTTGAACCGCATACCTTCAGAATTGCTCCACAGCTTCTTGCCACTAGGCCACCAGTGCTCCCTTGTTCCTTGAAAATTCAAGGGTCAGCTATGAGTCATTCTGAGTGAGTTAAAATAACTTAAAAAAAATGAATGAGAGTTTATCAGATTTTAGGCCTGTAAAAATATGGTGCTAATAAGGTTTTATGATAAATGATAACCTCATATTAGAAATGAAGACATTTAGAACCAAACCAAAAACGAACTGCCTTTTATAGTGTTAAAAACCCTACTAATTTAAGATGCCATATTATAAATAACCCACCAGTGATTGGTAATTCGTAGTACCACATTACATAGCTTAGTTTATCTCAGGGGATGTCTTGAAAACATTATGCAAAGTCAGGTACAAAATGAAAAAGATATGATTCCACTTAAAAGAAATATCTTGATTAGACAAATATCCAAAGACTAATATTTCTGAGTAGTTATCAGAGGTTAGGAGAAATCAGAAATGAGAGTTATCATTTATGAAATACTGAGTTCCTGTTTAGAATGGTGAACATTTTTGGAAATAGATAATGATAATGGTTGCACAACATTTGAATACATTAATGCCACTGATTTTTACAATTAAGATAATTGAAATGGCAATCTTTTTTCTATATATTTTGCCACAATTTTTTAAAAGTTAATATTTAATTTTGTGCTTTTGTAGATTATGTTGTTTTTTTAAGGTATTTTCAGCATTTTCCCAAAGTGAGTTGAGTAGTTGTGTCTTCAAATCTAAGAAACTTGCTACTAATTATGTAACACAATCATTGATTTGATCTCTTTATGTGATACTTGTTATATGTCATTTACTCTTCTCCTAATGCTATAAATGTTTTCAAACTCTTCTACAGAGATATTGCTGTTGTGCACTGTTAGTTGGAACCAACCCACAGCTGACCCTCTAGTGAGTTTTCAGAAGAGGTAAATCACACAGGAGGTGATTGTCCATCCTTCTCCAGTGGAGCAGTGGGTGGCCTAGGATAGTGTGCTTTGAGGTTCGCAGCACACCTACTTGTCACTAGGCCAGCAGGGCTCCTTCTAGTTAATGTAAATATTTCCATTAATTTAAAAGCCCAGATCTAGTTGCTGTCTTATTAATTTATTTTAACATTATGTATTTGCACAAACACATGCTCACTGAGTAACAAAACATTTGAAGTGTGTCAAAGTAAATAAACTTTACATCAGACAAATATTAGTATTGAACACAACTTTATTTCTTTTTTTATTTAAGAAGTACCAGGAAATGAGTTAATTTCTCCTAAATTTAATGTTCTCACTGGTGAAATAGGGGCTAAGTGGTATAACAAGAAGGTTAAAAGTCGAGTCTCAAATCAAGCATCTGACATAATTAAATAAATTATGGAAATAGCTATCACAGTACTTAATAGGAAAGAAAACAATATGGATAAGGCTCTAGCAGCCCAGCTGAAATTACATGCAGCTGGAATTATGTGCATATGTACATATTCACATATTATTAACACCGTCATCCTTCCCTGAGGGCAGTCTGAAACTTACTTGCTAAAACCAATTCTAAATTAGGCTAACTAGCAGCAAGCAAATTTCAATTTTTCTTTTATATTAGAAAAATTTTCAAAATTTGTTCTTTAAAAATACTTAAAGAAAGAAAGAAAGTCCAACATCCTTAAGAGCACAATATCTTTAATTTCGAAACATTTGAGACCATTAGAAGAATGGAAAAATTGGGACAAAGTTCTGGGAAGAAATCAGATTCATCTCTTTTAAAACCTAGAGCATAATAACAATACCTTTTATTTCACATGATACTTTAGAGTTTAAAAATGGCTTTTAATTCCATCTTTCTCTGAGCAAACTCTTCTTTTGATAGCACCTTCCTTAAAGCAGCCTTCATAGCTTCATTACGTAAGCTATAGATGACTGGATTGAGTGTTGGAGGTATTACGGTATAAAATATGGAGAACATGAGGTCCATAGCTGATAGAGAATCTGAAGGTAGCCTTAGAAACTCAAAGCCTGCAGCTGAGAGGAAGAATGTGACTACAAACAGATGAGGTAGGCACATAGAGAAGACTTTGGTCCGTCCCTCAGCTGATGGGATTCTCAGCACTGCAGAGAAGATGCGAACATAAGAAAGCACAATGGAGATCAAACAAATAAATGCTGTCGAGGTCGTGAATGCCGCTACTGCAATCTCATTCATGAAATCAGAAGAACAGGACAGTTTTAACATCTGAGGAATGTCACAGAAGAATTGATGTATGACTCGGTCTCCACAAAGTGGAATAGAAAAGTTAACAGCTGTGTGCATGAGCCCAGAAATTCCCCCAGCAACCCATACGGCTATCACTGCACGCCTACAAGCACTGAGATCCATAATAGTCTCATAGTGCAGTGGTTGACAGATGGCAACATACCGGTCATAAGACATCACTGTGAGGATGGCCACTTCTGAGGAGGCCAGAGCGATGAAAAAGAAAACCTGAAGGATACATTGACCGTAGGAAATGTAACCATTGTCCGTAAGTGAGTTTGCGATGGACTGGGGGACTGTGACTGAGATGAAACAGACATCCAGAAAGGAGAGGTTCTTCAAGAAGTAATACATGGGGGAATGGAGACGATGGTCTAAGGTGATGATGGTGATAATTAGAAGGTTGCCTGTCAAGGCCAGCAAATATGTCACCAAAAAGAGCAGTGCGTGTAAAATCTGAAATTTACGATCATCAGAAAACCCCATGAGGAGGAACCCACTCATTGAGGTCAAGTTGGCCTTGATCATATTGCAGATAGGAAGGATGATCCTGTTTAGGAAGTCAAAGAGTTATAAGGAAAAAATGTATAACATTTGATATATCTGCTTGTTGAGTCACTCATTGTCTTTATACTCAATACAGAAAAATCTTTAATCATTATCCAGAAATGTTACTGCTGCTAATTGCTGTCAAAATAGTTCAAATCCTCCTGATAGCCCCATGTATACAGAACTTACTCATAAGGTATTTAAGGCTGTGACATTTCAGAAGCAGATCACAAGGCCTGCCTTTCTAAGTGTCTATGAATGGATTTTAGCTAGTAATTGAGTATTTAAACATTCAACAATTTCATATAGATGAGGAAAAAGTCATGATGATTTTGTAAATCAGCATTAGGATTGTCAAAAGAAAAGCAAATAATTAACAGAATCCCAAGTAACTCTGTGAGAATGATTCTGACATAGCAGTTTCATTCCTTCTAATTTATGGAAATTTACTGAAGACTCTGGACGGAACAGTTAAGTGCTTCACTTAACTAAATTAAAGTGACCATCTTTTACTAAACAAAAGTTGACAGTTTGAACCTGCCTAGAGGTACCTGGATTGAGAAAACAGTTGGAACTCGGGGCTCAAGGTGAGCAGTGATTTTGAAGTTGGAGCAGTTTTAGGCAGTATTTTGCTCTGTTGCACACAGGATCACATTATGTTAGTGCTAACTCACCAGTACCTAAGAACAGCAACAACAGATAAGCTTCTGAAATGTCACAGTCTCGAAAACTTTATGGAGTCTCGAAAACTTTATGGAGTGAAGTCAACTCTGTACCCATAGGCTTGCCATGAATCCGAGTCAATTCAAAGGCAAATAGGGGAAAGAAGAAAAGTATTACTCTATTACACTGGTGTGATACATCTTAATATTGCATTAAAGTTTCCTTAACTAAACCAATTAAACTTAAATCTTTGGTATCACCTGTAAAATCAATCTAGGAATAGAGTAGATACAAACCAACAGAGAGGATAATGTTAAAGATAATCATATTCTTTGTTTCTATAAGTTTCTTAACATCTTTCAAAGATGACATTTGGTTGGAATAAACTTTTTGAAACAAATGTGTAGAGTGAAATAAGTCTTCTGTAGATTTCATCAAACAAACAAAAAAATGAAGTCAGCTATAGACGTAACATAATTCTTAGAGAGTTCTGTGTTATCACTTTTCCTCCTTTATCTTAAATGTACTATTGTGGAATCATAGACTCACATATACATCAGAATTATTGTGATAATTTTTACTTTTTTTGTTAAAAATCTGAATTTTTTTAAAAAGTCAATAATATGTTACTTGACAGCAAAACACTATGCCTTCATCATCACTGTCAATTCTTGTATATTTGCTAGTAATATCTAACATATAAAACCCAAAATCAAAACATTTCCTGTCCTGTTGATTCTAAATCATGGAGACACTATATATGTTAGAGCAAAACTATGCCTTATGTGGACAGCTAATTTTTTCAGAAGTAGATTGCCAGACCTTTAATATAAAGCCTCTGATGGACTTGAATCTCCATCCTCAATTATTTGCACCTCATCTGGATTTACCAGAGCTTTTCAGTTTGAGAAGGCTCATGGTGAAAATGAAACGAAAAGCAAAACCAATGCCAATGGTAATGTCAGACTCAGCTCCCCTATATATAGGTCAAAGTAGATCTCCGTAGGACAACAGCGACAACACAGAAGCTTTAAGCAAACATTTGTTTAACTGAATTTATACTCATCTGGTTCTAATTCTTTACAAATACTTAGTAAAAAAATTTAGTTACTTTAGTAGATATTGTGAATGGTTCTATTTATCCCCAGATCTGGTGGAATAGAGATAAGGAAATGGCCTGCCAACCCACATGTATGCAATTCGAACTCAACAGCTGCTTCTGAAAACTTGCTGGAGAATCAGCTCTAGGCCGGTTCTGACTTGAAGATACACAACACTACCAACAAATAATGGAGAGCTCTGATGGCCCAGTGGTAAGTAAGGAGTTGCATTGCCAATCTGAAGGAACATGGCTTGAATCTACCAGCTGCTCTACTGGAGAAAGATGGACAATCGCTGCCCATGTGATTTACTGCTTCTTGAAAATCTACTAACAGGTGAACTATGAGTCAGTTCCAACTTGATGTTATATAACATAATAACAAACAATAGGCTCCAGGTGCTCTGGTGATGCAATTATTTAATTACTAGCTTAAGAGAAGAGTATTACCATGGACTGCTAGGAAAACAAACAGGTTTATCCTGGTGGCTCCTTGGAGGCAAGGATTCTGAGGCTCTATCTAGCATACTTTGGACATGTTGTGAAGAGAGACCGGTCCTTGGAGAAGGACATCATGCTTGGGAGGGTGGAGGGACAGCGCAGCAGAGGAAGGCCCTCTATGAGGTGGATTGATTCAGTGACTGGGATAATCGGGATGGGAGTGTGAGAGACAGATTGGCACAGGACAGAGCAGAGTTTAGGGCTGTTGTACACAGAGTGTCTACGAGTCGCAAGTGACTCGATGGCACACAACAACAACAACATTATCTTAAACACAATAGTTTAAAACTACCAGGCAGAGAGAGATATATTGATCTGGTTTTGTAAATATTTACAGTCCTAGAAATCCTGTGGGTCAGTTCTACTCTGACCAAAGTGTAGCTGAGTTTGACTTCACTATAAGGCAACCAGTTTGGTTTTGATTCTGTGTCTTCTTAAATACAACAGCTCCAGTAAATACATGAATTATCCCAATACTAAATTATACATGATCTTTCTCAAATATATGGCTCTTCCAAACAAGATTTTTTGAAAATTATTTTCCATCTTCTTTCCTTTGATCACTGATGTCACTTGTTGCTGACTTCCTGCCTCTAAGGATATCCTTTCTTAGTCTCTGATGGAGTCATTTCTGGACATTTACTGAAATTTAAAACTTTTAAATTTTAAAGCTTTAAAAAACACTGTCCTCAATTGTCTTTTGTCTTTGTTAAATGAAAAATATTTTCTAGAGGCTAGTTAAAGGACAAGTGAAGTCCTTTTCTACATGATTTGTACATTACCAGGTGAGGGTATTTCAAAGCACTTCCAAAGAGCTCTGAGTCCACATCGATGTCACTACCTTCAATCACTTCCAATTGGGCCTGTCCAACTAAAACTTATCTCTTCTCCCAACTACCTCCCTACCACTGATCTCTGCTTCAAAGAATGACACATTTAATAAAGCAACAAGTTTATCTGTTCATTTTCTTTTATAGTTACTACCTTCCGTTGCCCCATTTCTACATTAGTTTGCCTTTTTTATCATCTCTGGCAACATTTTTATTCTTAAATTTAATGTCCCTTCAATCTAATATCTGTGTTGTTCCTAAGATTATCATATTGTCACATTTCTGATTTTGTTTTTTCTCTCCATATTAGCATTAAGCATTAATGACCTTGACTAAGCATTAATGACCAAAAAACTTAGAATGGCAACTGACTATTTGCAAAATATTCCCTGACTGCCCTTCTGGTAATAACTTTCATTGCGACTTTTCTAATCTCATGTCAAAAATACACTCTAATAATGCTGAATTACCCTTCATGCCTCAATCATATTCCTACTCTGTACTTTGAAATATTTTTTTTATTGTACTATTTTTTTTTCTACCTGGAATTTCTACCACTAGATACCCTCCTCTATTGCTTGGAAAATATTTAATGATCTTTCAACACAGTTTCTTTATTTTCCTTTAAATAATCTCTCAACGTTACCTAATAAGCCAAATAGCTTTTGAGTCTAACACTAGCTTTTTTAATCCAGAGTGCATTCATTGACTTTTCCTTATAACTTATAATTATGTTATTATGCTTATTTATTTGCATGTTTCAATGTATGTAGACAAAATAAAAAACACTGCTGCTGAGACTATATCTTAATGAAATAAGCTACCTTACTGGTCAGAGTAGACCTGCTACAAATGTTTTTCAAGGTTGTAAATCTTCTATGGAAGTAGATTGCTATATCTTTCTCCTAAGAAATGGCTTGTTGGCTTGTGGATTCCAACAACCACTCTCTTGGTTAGCAGCTAAGTACTTTTACCACAAAAGCTCAGCCTACTTAAATTAGTAATAATATAGAGTCAAATAATACATTTTATGTAGGACTATATTTCCAGAGTCTCAATAGGAATTGTGCTGCCAAAGCAGCTGTTCTTTGGTAGAAAGACAATCTCCTCTTGTGCAATTTACTACTTCTGGATAATTACTGCTAGAGGGTCAGCAACAGGCTGGATCTGACTTCATGATAAACAACAATAACAATAAATGTTGAATAAATCATATTAAATTTTCAGAAGTCACACTCACCAGAAATGATCCAAGTCAATTGGAAAAAATCTCATTTAATTCTAAAATTAAGCATTTCCAAGAAGTGGTCTCATAGCTCAGCCTGTGAAATTTTCATCTAAGAAAAGGACAAAGGTATGTTAATACAAGACTGAACAAAGATATAGACTTAGGGGCATTTAAACTCCCTATTAAGCCCATGGCATTTAAAATGAAGTCAATGCTGCCCAGGCACTAGGGACAAACTTGCTCAGTACTGCTGTGGTTCCAGAAAAGCATTATCAGTTCAAAGACTGGGATTTTGCAGATCTCTCCCTCAAGGAATTACCTGAGTGGAAAGTAGTTAATTATCATCTTCATTTAACTACATCTTATAGCCTACACACTTCAGAGAAGGAAAAATGTATGTTGTTGCTCAACATTATTGAATTGAAACAAACACAAATTATAATGTATTTTTTATTTTTGTGTTGTAATTTCCAAGTTGACTTCAACAATGGGTTCAAGTGTGTCAGAGATGGAGAGGACAGCACAGGAGAAGATAGGATTCAGGCCTGTTGTTCATAGAGTTTCTATGAGTCGTACTCAACTCAAAAGCACCTAACAACTAACAACAACTTCAGAGTTAGACTTCTCTAGTAAGAAGTAGGCGTTTTTTGGTTTTGCT